GCCACGCAGGCGCCCCTGAGCTTGGTTAATTTTATATTGTAAGCTGTCCCAGTGGGTCTTTTCTTATATTTTTGCTATCAAATCCCGAATTTCTAACTTATATCTAAACTGCTGAATGCCACACTTTTCTGACTGTTCTAGCTTTCTCTACAATGCCCAGGAAATATCTGTAGTTTTGGCCAGCTTTTCCCTGCCCTCCTCCTCCACACTTGTTTTGAAAGTGTACATTCAGCATTTGCAAGCCTTTAATGGTCTTCCCTCTTAGCTCCCTTAAACACACTTGAACTCACACTTTTTAAGAAATTAAAACAGTTTCATTTTCAATCAGGTGACTTAGAAGGACCATAATCTTGGTGAGACATCCCTAAAAATCTCAACTTTTTTTTTGCTTCTAAATTTTGATAATGCTATATTTATAAATGCATGCCAAGTCTGTTAATAAGGTTTTTATTTTTATTTTTTCATCTGAACTTATTTTTCAAATATAGCAGTAAAAGAACTGGGAGTAGGGGGAAGATTGCCAGAAACATTCTACACATATTTTTTTTCTTTTTAAGATTTTATTTATTTATTTATTCATGAGAGACACACAGAGAGAGGCAGAGACATAGGCAGAGGGAGAAGCAGACTCCCTGATGCAGGACTTGATCCCAGGACTTTGGGATCATGACCTGAACTGAAGGCAGACACTCAACCACTGAGTCACCCAGGCACCTCTTATTTTCAACATCTACTGTGGTTCTAGGCCCTGGTGACACGGGAGAGAACAAAACAGAAGAAATCCTTGTCCTCATGGAGCTCAAGCTCTAGTGGAAGGAGACAAATAAACAAAATTAAGGAAAATAAAGCAGAGATGGAGTGTAGGGTGTGTTTGTGAGTTTTAAAAATGGCGGCTTTCAGGGTGCATGGGTGGTGCAGTCGGTTGAGCATCTAACTCTTGGTTTTGGCTCAGGTGGTGATCTCAGGGTCATGGGATCGAGCCCGAAGGCAAGCCCCATGTTGGGCTCTGTGCTCAGTGAGGACTCTGCCTCAGATTCTCTCTCCCTCTCCCTCTCTGTCCCTTCCACTCATGTGCTCACTCTGTCTCTCAAATAAATAAATAAATCTTCAAAATATGGCCTTAAAAAAAAAAAGATGGCCTTTGGGCAGTCTTGGAGGGAGACTGATGGGCTACCCTGACATCTGGGGGAGGAGACTCCCAGGGACAGGAAACAAATAGCAAATGCACGGGCTCTAAGGGGAGCATCCCTAGGGAGTGAATGAGTAACTGGCTGGAGCAGCAGGTGAACAAGTCAGAGAAATCAGGGGAGGCAAGACACACCCTCTCGAGCTTTGTGGGGTATTGTAGGTATTGTGGCTTTTACTGTGATGAAATGGGAAGCCAGATGACGACCTCAAACAAAGGAGCAACAAGATTTGACTTTAAAAGACTTCTCTGGCTGCTGGGCTGAGAAGGGAAAGGGGCAGGTGTGGAAGAGTTAGGAGCCATGAGGAGGCTATTGCTATCACCTCTACCAGAAATTAACCAGAAACGTCTGACTGGTTTACTAAAAGGGAAGAAAATCTGCTTGCAGAATACAAAAAAGAAAATAGCAATTATATTTTGGATATTTAAGTTGCAAGAAAAAGACCAATTTGGCAGTTGCTTTGCTACAGTGCCTCCTCCAGACACAGTGGCTTGGGAGTCCTAGGGAGCTAGGTCTTCAGAACTTTTTTTTCTCCTGAATTTTAAGTTTTCTTTTTAATTTTTTAAAGTAATTTCTATGCCCAGCATGGGCCTTAAACTCACAAGAGCCAGCCAAGTGCCCTCAGGATTTTTTTTTTTTTCTCCTGAGCAATCCATGGACCTACTAGGGTTTGGTCAGTGTGATTAAAAAGCCTTGGGCACTTGAGTGGCTCAGTCAGTTGAACATCCAAAGCTTGATTTCAACTCAGGTTGTGATCTTGGAGGCATAGATGGAGCCCAGTATGTGTCTCCACGTTCAGCCCAGAGTCTGCTTGTCCCCCTTCCTCTGCTTCTCCCCTGTGCTCTTTCTCTAACAAACAAATAAAATCTTTTAAAAAGAAGAAGCGGCCTTTATGGGTCTCTTAGGATGTCTACCCCCTTCCATTTCCCAAACTTGCCTGGTTGTCTATTAGAAATTCAGATTCCTAGGTCCTACCTCTTCAGTAAGTATGGAATGGGGCCCAGTGATATATACTTTCAGAGAGAATATGAGAGAAGTCTTTTTTAAAAAAATTATTTATTTATTCATGAGAAACACACAGAGAGAGGCAGACACAGGCAGAGGAATAAGGGACTTATTAGTAGGCTCCCATAGGGAGCCTAATATGGGACTTGATCCCAGGACCTCGGGATCACGACCTGAACCAAAGGGAGATGCTCAACCACTGAGCCACCCAGGTGTCCTGAGAAGTCTTCTTTTTAAATTATTTTATTTATTCATCATTTTGTTTTAGAGAGATTGAGGGTGCCAGTGAGATGGGGGAAGGACAGAGGAAGAGAGAGAGAGGGAGGGAGAGAGAGAGAAAGAGAGAAAGAGAATATCTCACGTAGGCTCCATGCACAGCTCGGAGCCCAAGTCAGGGCTCCATCTCACGCCCCTGAGACTATGATCTGAGCCAAAACCAAGAGCTGGACGCTTAACTGATTGGGCTACCCAGATGCTCCTTCTTTTTTTAATTATTGGGGTAAAATTGCTCTATAAGTCTCAGGTGTACAATGTTATGTGTATCATGTACAAAATGATCATCACCATAAATCTAATTACCATCAGCACCATACAATTGAGCACTTTCACCGATTTTGCTCAACCCTAACCTCTTCTGCCTCTGGTAACCATCAGTTTATTTTCTGTATGTATGAGTTTTTGTTTTGTTTGTTCATTTTGTTTAGATTCCATATATAAGTGAATTCATACTTCTTTGTATTTTTCAAAGTATTTTTCTTTGTCCTGTGACTTAGTTCACTTAGTATAATACCCTCAACATCTATCTATCTTGTCGCATACAGCAAGATTTCCTTCTTTCTTCTTTTATGACAGTTCTGTTCCACTGTATTTCCATACTTGGCTATTGTAAGTAATGCCTTTATGAATGCAAGGATGCTTATATCTTTTCAAATTAGTGTTTTTATATTCTTTGGCTAAGTATCCAGAAGTGGAATAGTTGGGTCACATGGTAATTTGATTTTTAATTTTTTTTGAGGAATCTTCACACTATTTTCCACAGCGTTTGCACTAAGTTGATTGCCACCAACAGTGTGGAAGGTTCTTTCCTCCACATCCTAACACTTATTTCTTGTCTTTTTGGTAATAGCCATTGTAACAGGTATGAAGTGATATTTCATTGTGGTTTTGATTTGCATTCCTCTGATGATGAGTGATGTTGAACATCTGGGAAAAATGTTTATTCAGACCCTCTGGCCATTTTTATTTATTTTTAAAAACGACTTTATTTATATATTCATGAGAGGCAGAGACAGAGAGAGAAGCAGGCTCCACGCAGGGGAGCCCAACGTGGGACTCGATCCTTGGTTCCCAGGATCACATCCTGGGCTGAAGGTGGCGCTAAACCGCTGAGCCACTGGGGCTGCCCCTTCTGGCCATTTTTAAATTGCTTTTTTTGTTGTTGTTGTTGCTGTGTTGTGCGAGTTCTTTTTATGTTTTGGGTACTAAACCCTTATCAGATATGTGATTTGCAAGTATTTTCTTCCATTGAACAAGTTGTCTTCTTGTTTTGTTGGTTTCCTTCAAGTTTTTAGTTTGTTGTAGTCTCATTTGTTTATTTTCGCTTTTGTTTACCTTGCCTTTGGAGTCAGATCCACAATTAAAAAAAAAAATAACTAAAACCAATGTCAGAGAGCTTGCTACCTTTTCTTGTCAGAATTTCATGGTTTCAGATCTTAGATTCAAGTCTTTAATTCATTTTGAGTCAATTTTTATATGTGGTGTAAGATGGCATTTAGTTTCATTCATTTGTATGTAACTGTTCAGTCTTCCCAACACCATTCATTGAAGAGACTGTCCTTTCCTCTTGGCTCCTTTTCCTAAATTAACCATATATGTATGGGTCTATTTCTGGGCTCTTTATTCCATCCCATTGATCCGTATGCCTTTTTCATTTCAATACCGTATTGTTTTGATTACTATAGCTCTGTGGTATAGTGAGGGGATTCCTGACTTGGAAGGTGGGGAAACTGCTTCACTGTAACCTTCTCACCTCTCCGGCAAAGCTTTTGGGGTTTGCAGACCTGGAAAGCATTGCAGGGTGCAAACGTCACCGGCAGGTGGCGCCACGCGACCGCAAGCTGCAGCGTGAGAGCATCCCGTTGGGAGAAGTGAGAAGCTCCAGAAGAGGCAGGTCGCTAGGTGTGGGGCCACCCAGTCGCCGCTAATCCCGGGCAGAGCGGCGCCGACGGGTAGAGGAGGGTGGCGCAGCAGGTGTCCCGGCCTTTCAGGCAAACGCGCTTCTTGAGACCTCCCCAGTCGGCTTCCCGGGCTCCTGGGGCAGCCTCCCTCGCACGCACATTGAGCACTGCGGCGGCCGGCAATGCGGTGCCGCGAAAACCGACCGTCCAGGGCCCCAGGACATCAGCCCAACACTGCCTACCCAGGCGCAGGCATCTACTACCGAGGGCCCTCGGGAGCACCAGGCCCGCAGACGGCCCCCTCTCATTGGTAGCCCGACTGGAGGCCCCGCCCCCTTTCGTACAGCTCTCATCTGTGAGTGGCTCTCGGGCCCCAGCTGGCCACACCTCCTCCCCTCGCACATACACAAGAGTCACGCGCCTTTCAGTAGGAAACTTGGCGTGCTGAGGGGGACGGTGGCTTTCATCGCCCCACCCACCTGCCTTGCCATTGGCCCGCGGCTCCGCTCATGACCACGCCCCCATTCCAGCCCCCTGGCTGGGAGGGCGGGCACCCGCGCGTGATTGGCTGGTCCGCCTGCCTCTCGCGGGAGCGGCTGGCGCTTCCCCCTCCCTTTTCCCCCTCCCGCGAGTCTCCAGGTTCCTCAGCTAGCAGAGGCCGGGTCAGTGTCAGTCAGGGAGCCGGAGTGCTGAACTGTGTGAGCGGACGCTCCGCCGCAGTCTCGCCCAGGGGCCGGTGGCTGCGCTCGCGCCGCCGGGTGGGAAGGATGAAGCCGCAGCTGGAGCAGCCACCCTATGATTGGCTGTGGCGCTTGTGAACCCGAAGTAAAGATGGCGGGCGGGCAGGCAGCCGCCGCACTGCCCACTTGGAAGATGGCGGCGCGCCGCAGCCTCAGCGCCCGCGGCCGGGGGGTCCTGCAGGCGGCGGCGGGGCGGCTGCTGCCGCTGCTACTGCTGAGCTGCTGCTGCGGCGCGGGCGGCTGCGCAGCAGCGGGCGAGAGCGAGGAGACGGTGATCATCGGGTTGCGGCTGGAGGACACGAACGACGTGTCTTTCATGGAAGGGGGGGCGCTGCGGGTGAGCGAGCGGACCCGGGTCAAGCTGCGGGTGTACGGGCAGAACATCAACAACGAGACGTGGTCCCGCATCGCCTTCACCGAGCACGAGCGGCGGCCTCACAGCCCGGGCGAGCGCGGGCTGGGGGGCCCCGCGCCGCCAGAGCCGGACAGCGGCCCCCAGCGCTGCGGCATCCGCACCTCCGATATCATCATCTTGCCCCACATCATTCTCAACCGCCGCACCTCGGGCATCATTGAGATCGAGATCAAACCGCTGCGCAAGATGGAGAAAAGCAAGTCCTATTACCTGTGCACATCGCTCTCCACGCCAGCCCTGGGCGCCGGCGGCCCGGGGTCCGCGGGCGGCGCCGTCGGGGGCAAGGGCGGCTCGGGAGTGGCCGGGCTCCCGCCGCCCCCGTGGGCCGAGACCACCTGGATCTACCACGACGGCGAGGACACCAAGATGATCGTGGGCGAGGAGAAGAAGTTCCTGCTGCCCTTCTGGCTGCAGGTGATCTTCATTTCGCTGCTCCTGTGCCTGTCGGGCATGTTCAGCGGCCTCAACCTGGGGCTGATGGCCCTGGACCCGATGGAGCTGCGCATCGTGCAGAACTGCGGCACGGAGAAGGAGAAGAATTATGCCAAACGCATCGAGCCGGTGCGCAGGCAGGGCAACTACCTGCTGTGTTCGCTGCTGCTGGGCAACGTGCTAGTCAACACCACGCTCACCATCCTGCTCGACGACATCGCCGGCTCAGGCCTCGTGGCGGTGGTGGTCTCCACCATCGGCATCGTCATCTTCGGGGAAATCGTGCCCCAGGCCATCTGCTCCCGTCACGGCCTGGCTGTCGGGGCCAACACCATCTTCCTCACCAAGTTTTTCATGATGATGACCTTCCCCGCTTCTTACCCGGTGAGCAAGCTGCTGGACTGCGTCCTGGGCCAGGAGATAGGCACTGTCTATAACCGGGAAAAACTGCTGGAGATGCTCCGGGTCACCGACCCCTACAACGACCTCGTTAAGGAGGAGCTGAACATCATCCAAGGAGCGCTGGAGCTCCGCACCAAGACAGTGGAGGACGTGATGACTCCGCTCCGGGACTGCTTCATGATCACGGGCGAAGCCATTCTGGACTTCAACACCATGTCGGAGATCATGGAGAGCGGCTACACCCGTATTCCAGTATTTGAGGGGGAGCGCTCCAACATCGTGGACCTTCTCTTTGTCAAAGACTTGGCCTTCGTGGATCCAGATGACTGTACTCCCCTGAAAACCATCACTAAATTTTATAACCACCCCTTGCACTTTGTTTTCAATGACACCAAGTTGGACGCTATGCTGGAAGAATTTAAGAAAGGTGGGAAATTTTGGTATCTTTCATTGGCTTGCTTTTTCTCTCTCTCCATCCTCCTCCCTACTTGAGCCCTCTACCCTCAGATCAACCCCCCAAGGCGAGTTGACCGGAATTTCTCCTGTCTCTTAATTGCAAAGTTGAAAGGGTGGCATGGATTTGGGGGATGGATTGAACTAGAAGGCGCTTCTAGGTTTTCTAAAGCACGAGACTAACGTCACTCGCTTTTTCGCATTTCAGAAAGCAGGCTTTCTATTTTCTGTGCATGATACTGCTGGCCCTCTGGTCCTGAGGGGTCTGCTGCATACCATTGCCCCAGTTCTGAGTGGGTAAGGTGCAAGTCGGGGCCAGCTAATGCCATGCTGTGCCATCTGGTTGACATGTACTAATCTCAGGCGTTTGGAAAAACATTGAGATAGTTTCTCTAAACTCAGTACAATCCTCTTCTTCCTCCTTAACCATTCACTGACATTTCAGAGATTGGAAGTGCATTTTCGGTAGCTCTGTTCCTGGTTGTCAGGCCACCTGTGGGGCAGATTGGGCTCTGCCTTTTGAGGATAGAGGATGGGTTAAGCCAATATCACCAAAAAGATTTATGCATTCGGGTGTGACTTGCCTTAGCTAGAAAAGAGGTTTTTTTTTTTTTTTTCAAAGTAGAGTTATTAATATATAACTTGGAAAGACTGGAGGTGAGTTAACCTTTTATTAGGCTATCTTGTCTAGCTTTCTTCACTATTTGTTTATATTTACTTGACAAATAAATTTCCCAAACCAAGTGTGATTTTGGCAGAAATCTTGAACATTTAACAATGGGATGACGCCCTCTATTGTGGTTTATTTATCGCTAGAGTTTTTCTGGTTTATAAGTGTTCTTCTTGACCTTGATCGCTTGGTATGTTAAGTTGAAGTGTGTCTTCAAGTCAGTTCTCAATGCTCTGGGGAGTTTTAATAGGGAAGCTACGTGCAGAGTCTGATGTGCTCACCTTTCCGCGCATGGTGGTTATTTTTTGTTTGTTTTACCATGTAATGAACAGGCAAATAGCAACTCATGCTATTATTAACTGAAATTCTGTCTTTAAAAAAAGTTTCCAGTAAATAGTTAGTGTTGCTATTTGAAAACCATGGGCGGCCGAGCTGTTTAATTGCTGTGGTGCTAGTGTAGGTATTAAAATATGTATGTGACCTTTAATGACCTGATAGTCTTCAAAACTAAGTTTTCCTTCTTCAGATAGAATTTTGAGCGCTCATAGTGGTTTCTCCACGGAAAAAGGCTGTGTGTAAGTGGTGACAGCTCACTGGACGTGGCGATCTGAACATCCCCACAGAGCGTGTGGTTGCCCTAATTCCATTCTCCTGGCTGAATGGTGTCCTCTCTGGAACAGGATCACATTGCAGTAATTTTCAGATAAAGGAATAGAGCAGAATGTGCTTCAGAGATTGGTAATTTGCATTTAAAAGCAGAAGGAGATTCTTCTGGATTCTTAAACAGTAAAAAGAAAATATCCATTATCTCTAGGTGACAGAGCTTCTTTTGGGGGTGTCATTATCCTTTCACTGCTAAGTTGTTAATTAGAGCATCTGACCAATCTCTTCTCTCATTTTGCAATAATATTTCTAGTACAGAAAGATACCTTGGGATGCTTGAAAATGCCTTTGAAATACATTGTTTTCTTTCTATTGCAAGGTTTTGCAATATTGAGACGGATAATTTATTCCATTATTTTTTATTCAGAATTTTTGCATATCTACTGATGGATTGAAACACTAGTGTGTCCTCCCTGCTGAAAGAAGGCTTTCATTTCTATATCTTTTTTCTTGGAGAATTTAACTCTTCACCTACAAGTCATTAATCCTGCCCCTATCTCAAAACTTCAAAATTTGCATTATTTTGAAACTTGTTTCTGGTTGTTCTTGAACAATATTCCCGTGTATTTTCTGTGGTTTATTTTCAGGAGGAACCTTTTCTCCTCAATATTACCTCTCACATTACCTTTAGATAACCGAATTACTAGTATTTTCCCATGAATTTTTGAAAAATAGTAATTCACAGGCAGGACTTTATTTCTGTCCTTAACCAGAGTGATGTGTTTGGTTAAGAAGATAGTAAAGGTTAAGGTACACTCAAGTTAGCGGTATGTTTGGAAGAGCGGGCAAAGACATTTGGTTGCAAATGGGAAATTTCAGCCATGATCTTAAAAAAGGATTGAGTGTTTCTTACTTAAACTGTAAGAACAATTGATTTTTCACCTTCTCTTTCTTGATCTTTTTTTGATGAGTTTGGCCACTTGAACCTTACTAGCAGCTGTGTTAATTCTTTCTTCCTGTGAGTTAAGCTATTTCACCAGATACTGTTTTCTTTATTTTCCAATTCAGTTTGAAATAATGTGAACAGTCAACTTTTATTGTTTTTTGTTTTTCTCTATTGAATAATGGTGCGTGGGATGGTTTTTTTTTTTTTTTTGCGTGGGATGGTTTGAAGGCTTTTTCTTTCTCTTTCCTTCTTTCTCCTAATAATACCAACTGTAACTCCTTCAGACTGATAGGTCATTAATCCAGATCTCATTGAAAATTGCCCTTCCCAACTAAGAATGTCAGCCTTGAAGTCTTTTCTACATAGAGCTGGACATCATCAGTGTGAGTTATGCTTTACCAACAAGGGGAAAGGTTCGCAATGTGGAAAGAAATGAAAAACTACCTTTATAGAAGTGTGTGTGAATGTCTTCTTTCTACTGGTTAGAACACTTTGCCTGACTCTTTAGAAACAGCTTTCCTTGAGGTTGGAAGACAGTAATTATACTAATTTTACAGTCAGCTTATTATTTATTTACTGTACCAGGTACAGAGCTGCATGTTTTACATGAATTACCTTGTTTAAATCTCATAATGGCCCTGCAAAGCATTTTCTCCATTTTACAAATGAGGAAATTGAGGCTCAGGTTACATGATTTGTTCAAGGTCACACAGTAATTTGTTGATTTGGGGTTTTAACTCAGGTCTGTGACAACCAAACTTGAGCTCTTAACGACTCTGTGGTTAATCATTAAGTTGGTCCCCTTGATTCTGATCTTACATTTCTGCTTTGAGTGAGTGTGAAGTTTGGTCTTTTATCAAAACATTGCTTCAGAACTTTTTGGGCAACAGTCACAGAAATGCACTGAAACATAGATGGTTTTAAAGCCAGTGCTTCTGTGATGTTGTATATAACAGTTGGTTTCCCCACTTTTGCCATTAAAACAAATCAGTTTTTTGGTCACTGTGATTCTAAATCTAAAGAATTCTATTTCCATGCCAAGCATCAAGTTTCATTTTGGAAATGTTTTATACTTACATTATAATGTAAGTAGTGTGCTACTTTAATGAAATACTCTACAGCTGTTTTTCTAATAGCAAAGCATGTAGTAATGTTTAACTCTTGCTTAGCAGTGAGGACTCAAATTCAGTTTTGTGTTTTAATCTTGATTTTATTTGCATTTTTGTTGCCACCTGTATAATGGCTAATGAGCATCCTTTACAGCTCCACCCCTCTGTGCAATCTTTCTCTTTTTCTTTTGCTACTTTTGTACTTATAAATCTAAATAAGAGAATAAAGGTAAACCCCACTAGAAGATTATGAGACTTCTAGAAAAACTGTCTTGAAGCAAAATTGTGGAGAGGAAGAAAAGATAAATTGAAGGTTGCTACCTTTGTCTGCAGAAAAGACATAAGAGATTCTCTACTGACCTGACAAAGCCTTCCTTATAAAATACTGTGGACTCTTGGCTGCCTAGTTGACTCTACTGGGGTTGAATTTGAAGAATTAGTAACCAGTTATCATTGTTTTGTTTTGTTTCTTTTTGCTTTGTAACAATTGCATTCCAGTATTGCAGAGCATGCAGTTCTATAGCTGCTAGGGGTAGCCAGGCTATTTTCTAGCCTTTTCTTAATGTACTTAGTTAAGTAGGGTCACCAGATAACTTTAAAGGAGAGTACAGTGTGCAGTTTTCTCTCCTCCTGTAACACCAGTCTTTCCATATCAGTATGCTGAGAGTTTAATGTTAAAAACTATTTTCATCACCAAATAAAGCGTTCCACTTGCCTAGAATCTAGGAGAATGTTTTTATTGGTGTTTAAAGGTATGAATGATGTCAGGGATGGATGGATGAATATATTTGCTTATATGATCTTGTATGTTTAGTAATTTTGTACAGTAACAGTATTAAACTATTATGATTCTGTGTTTTTATTTTTATTTTTAAAAATATTTATTTAATCATGAGAGACACAGAGAGGGAGAAAGAGGCAGAGACAAAGGCAGAGGGAGAAGCAGGCTCCATGCAGGGAGCTCGATGTGGGACTTGATCCTGGGACTCCAGGATCACGCCCTGGGCCGAAGGCAGGTGCTAAACTGCTGAACCACCCAGGGATCCCCTGATTCTGTGTTTTTAGATCATCACTATGAAATAGTACAGCAAGTGTAGAATCAGAGGTGGAAGGCAGGTACCTTGAAGATCATCTCCTCCAGTGTTGCAAAACTTACCAGATGATAGGAACTACTTGGATCACTTATTAAGAATAAGGTTCTAGTCCTCAGTCAGAGGTGTTCTAAAACAGAATCTAGGGAAGGAGCCTTAAAATGCATATTGTTAACAGTTACCCTATAGTTAGGTGAGTTTAGAAAAATCATTGGTCTAGTCAACCTTATAAATAAGAAAGGTAAACCCTGAGAAGGGGAGAAAGTTAAGTGACTTGCTTAAGGGCTATCTACCTAGTTAGTAGCATCAATAGAATTAGAATCCATGTGTCTGTGTTTTTGTTTTTTGTTTTTTTTAAAATTTTATTTATTTATTCATGAGAGACACACACAGAGAGAGGCAGAGACACAGGCAGAGGGAGAAGCAGGCTCCATGCAGGGAGCCCGACGTGGGACTCCATCCCAGGTCTCCAGGATCATGCCCTGGGCCGAAGGTGGCACTAAATCCCTGAGCCCCCAGGCTGCCTCATGTCTCTGTTTCTATACTGGAGCTCTT